GGAAGGAAGGAAGGAAGGAAGGAAGGAAGGAAGGAAGGAAGGAAGGAAGGAAGGAAGGAAGGAAACTGTAAAACATGAGTTTCATTTGCTGTGAAGCAGAGAAGGGAATATGGCTTTTTTCTTTTGAGCTTGCAAATATGCATGCTCAGCTCTTGGGACACTTCTGGCCTTGCTTACTAAAGAATATATAGTCCTGATTAATTTTATATTAATCTATCACTGTCTTAGAACAAGTTCAGCACCCTTTCCTACTCCCATTTGAAACATGTGGCTAAAGTTCCTCATTTATCTTCATGGGAGTAGGAGTAACAGGGCACAAATTTATGAATCTGGTTTTAAAATGGGGAAAGATGGTTGGCTAAGTTAACTTACATGTGTCTGATTTAAAAAATATGATTCTGACTTGGATATTAGACTTGCCTGGACATTATCAAGGCAGGAACCCCCTTCTTTTCACAATCTTAATTTTTTTAAAATTAACTACCTATTGAATGGCAAAAGAAATAAAAACTAATTGCTAATATTTGTTTGGATAAATTATTTAATAAAATATTTTTGAAAAACAAAATGCTTGGAGACACATGATTTTGTTTTTACTTTTTTGAATTAAGATGAGTTTTATGAGACTAGCCTTGTTTCTGTTCCCCTTACTAAAACTAGACAAATGGATGTTTTGCTTGTAAAACCCAAGTCATCAAATTTTCTGTACTGAAACACTCTCTTCCTTCCTTTCCCTTCCAATACAGGTGGTTGTGAATGCCTTGGTGGGTGCTATACCATCCATTATGAATGTGCTGTTGGTCTGCCTTATTTTCTGGCTGATTTTCAGCATTATGGGGGTTAATCTTTTTGCTGGGAAGTATCATTACTGCTTTAATGAGACGGCTGAGTATCGATTTGAAATAGAAGAGGTGAACAACAAGACAGAGTGTGAGAAGTTGATGGATCCCAATGGAACAGAGATTCGGTGGAAGAATGTGAAGATTAATTTTGACAATGTTGGTGCAGGGTATCTGGCCCTCCTACAAATTGTAAGTTCTATTTTTGTTGCTTGATGTCTATTGTATAATTGCTAAAATATTGAAATCTTAAAATGTTTTTCCTTTTGTAAATTCCATGTATCTTTTCCCATATTCAGATGGATCAGCCAAACATTTTCGCTTTTTTATTGTATTTTGCAGTGATTATAAGGAGCCAATCAAGAAGTCATTTCCATTTTTGAAGTAATTAACGTGGGAAAGAATCTAATTATTTTTCACTTGCATCCTCTTTATTAGTGAGGACTTAAGAGCAGTTTATTCTTTAAGCATTGAAGGTGGAAATAGCAAGGATCTGTTCCTATAAGGAGAGGTCTGAGCTAAGTAACTGGTAATTTTAGCTTTGAGAGAGGAGTGATTTATAGTTTCCTGAAGAATTCTTAATTCCAGGTTGCTGTTAGAAAATGAAGGGGGCAGGTGTTTCTAGTTTGAATATATTCTAAGCAATACAGTCTCTGTTCACTTTTGGTTCTGGATTTTACCAACTGACATTAAACCGTGGTCATCTTGAAGATAGGTTGTGATCCAAGGGATCTTATTTCATGCATGCAGTCCACCTGTTCTTCCAAAAGCAATCTTCTGCACTGCCTATGAGTCATTCACAACCTGGATGATATTCTAGAATTAGTCTTTGTGTAGACTAAGGAGAAGCAGAGGTGGGGCAGGAGAATAAATCACTTGGAAATGAATCATAGAGCAACTTCACTGAGGATTTTTTTGTGTGTGCGATTCAAAAGGGTAGTATGTCTATCATTTTATGGTTCCAGGTTTTCCTGCAAATGTATTTGAAGAGTTCAGGATCTGTAGTACTATTTTTTAGAAAGGCTGATTGTATCCATTAATCAGAAAGTTTAAAAAACTGGATCAAGATTCCTTTCATTATTTTAATTACAAAAGTGATATTTTTTTATTTTTTTAAAAAAAATTCATGTTTTATTTGCAATTTTCTTTTCACACCATGCATATTTTGTGGACAGTGTATTGACTGGGTCAAATCTTTTTTCAACAATGCTAATGGTAATAATACAAATAAGTATACATAATCCTAGTCTTCCAACTCCTAGGATACCATTCTCTCTTTATAATTCTTTATTATTTTTCCCATTAATTCGTTTAAATATAAATAACATTTCTTTGCACCTTGTATTTGTTGTCCCTTACTAAATTACTAATATTTAATATTTTAAACAAAATTAGTTCCACCATAATTTCAATATCTCAAATGTCTAGAACTACTAATAAAGCCATTTATTAACCAAATTTAATCAATCCCAGGAATATATCTCAAAATCTCTTTCTAATCCTTAAAAGTTTAAATTCACAATATACAATACAATAGTAAACACTATTAATATTATTAATACAATTAACCTAATCCTAAACTTTCACCTACTAAGCTTAGCTTATTTTTAGTTATAATAGATTCTATTATCTGTTAATATATAGGTTACTATTTTCACTATTTGTATTTTCTATTTTTCCATTTTATTAATATATTTTCTCATCCATCATCTCTAAGCGTTTTTGGAGTTCCATCATTTATTGACTTTTTAAACATCCTTTTATCTCTCTTTCTTGGAATCATAACTTTTTTTGATATTTTTATACCCTAGCCCTCACCCTTCAGTGTGCCCTTTGTCTTTTTCTGCTGTATTATTTGAGCATCCTTCAATAAGACTTCCTTTTTTAAAAGAGATTTTTCTCTTTTTTTTTTTCAAACTTTTCTCTTTTTTTAAAGTTTTTTCTCTTTTTTCCTCTGTTCTATTATAAGCTTTTAAAGAATTATCTGATTGAATTCTACTTATTACTCCTTTCTCTTCATTATCTTTATCATCTTGTATCTCATTTTGATTTTTTCCTTCCACTGCTTCTTCTAATTTCTCCTCTATTTCCTGAATGCCATGTTCATCTTTTTCCCCAATTGTTGTATGACTTCTACACTAATTTCTGTATTTTTAAACAATCCCTCTGTCTCCTTATTGTTCTTTATAGTTTCATGCATGCTTTTGAGCATCAAAATTATTTCTTCATTTACCTCCATTATCCCCTGTAAATCCATTTTGTAACAATTTAATAAAAATTACTCAGTATACCTCTATGATTCCAACGTCTCAGTATTAAGAAAAAACTCCTGTTTAGTAGAATTCTGTCAATCCCATAGTTATATCTCCAAATCACCTAAATTTATCATCTTTAAAATTCTTTAATAATTTACAGTCTTGTGGTTTCCAATTACATATCTTCCCAATTGTCCAAATTTTAGTCTTATTTAACTCATTTTCTCTTTTCTTCTATCACCTTTCTTCTTTTATCTTGTAGAATGTTCTGCCAAATAGCATTAATAATCCAATCCAAATTAATCCACTAGGTTTCTCCAGTTTTTTAAATCCATAATCCAATAGCCAGTTTTAATAAAGTTTAGTTATTTGCAATTTAATTTATCTTAGAAATCTTCAAAAGGGAACAAAAACTCATTAAGTATTTTCAAAATATCCGAGTCGTCTTCTAGCATAGAGTCAAAGTTAGGCTGCTTTCCAGATGTTATTTACTTCTATTCTGTGTATTAGACTTTATGTGTATTGGACTCACTTTCACTAAAAGTACTGACACTGTAGTGCTCTAGTGCTTCTCTTCTTCCAGTAGATGGCTCTCATACTCCCAAGTCCAACATGAAATGGTCTGTCAAAAACAGCTGATTATCTGATAAATCCAGGGTGTTTAGAAATACAAATAAGCAAAACAATTTCTCCCAAAAATCACTTTTCAAATTATTTAAGCTCTTTTCTAGGTTTTCTGTATTTTAAGGCTTCCCTTGGGTATTTCTTTCATCTCTTAATTTTCAGTCTCTAATCTTCTCCATGAATCTAATTGGCACTTCCTTAATGCTTGAAAATTATCTTTTAAAATTCTTGTACTTAAATTAGGTCTTTAGAGTAAGTTTTGGCAGTTATCTCACCCAGTTTCAATGCTCTGTCCATGCACCACTCCAGCACAAATCTTGTAGTCCCAGTTACTCCAGCTTGTGACTGCCAAAAATGGTCGTCGTCCCTGCTGTCATTCGGGAGAGCTTGCTTCAGATCTAATGAGGAAATTGCAGGTTCATCATGGTCAACGAAGCACCTCTCCTTCTTTGACGCCCCTACAAGTCTGCTATGACCCTGTAGGATCTCCTGACAGTGGTTGCCAGCTGGATTTTGCAGGGCTCAGTGGAGGCCTCTAATTTCCAAGCCATTCTCACCATGACATCAACTGGAAGTCAAAAGTGATATTATTTTCAATATTATTTGATTTATTTGATTTCTGTAGCCGCCCATCTCAACAAATAACTCTGGGCAGCCTATGTTATTATAAAAACACATTAAAAACAATAAATAAAATTACACTTTATTACACGGGATGTTATAATGTATTATTTTGTGAAATATCCTTAACTAAATAGGATTATTAGGATTAAATTATCTTGCAAATCTTAACAACATGCAAATGTTTTGTTAAGAATTTATAGACTATCCTAGTGCACATTCCATATAGAAGCCAGAGAACAAATGGATGTACCATTTACCAAAATAAATGCAGTTATAGTATGTCCTTTGTGTGTTTAGGATGGGTGAGAAATTCCATGAAAGTAGAAGCAGTTAAGAACAAGTGAAATCAGCACAGCCCCAGAGGTGGACTGCTTCCAGTTCAGGCAAACCTGTAGTTAAGATTCTGTGCAGTTCAGCGAACCAGAAAATCCCACGCCAGCAAATTCCACACAGCTGGCCCTGGCCCTGATCATTTTTCAGTCTGTTTTCCAGGCCATTTTTCAGCCTGTTTTCAGGGCAGTTTTTTGGGCCAAGAACAGGCCGAAAAAAGCCCCCAAAATGTCAAAAAAAAAAATGCTGAAAAATGGGTCGGGCGGGGCCAGCTAGTGCTGGAATTAACCCTAACTGGCTGAATCTGACCTCTGCCTTTGAGGTGAGTGGCCATCTTACAAAAGTTGGAAATGATAATGTTTCATGTCATGGGAATGTAAAAGGCATGACAAGAAGGAGAAAAATTGGGGTGGGAGAAATGAAACTGATATTAAATCAAAATGTGGAAATATATCTGTTTATATGTGTGTGTGTGTGTGTGTGTGTGTGTGTGTATACACATACATATACATACACACACACATACACACACACACATACACACACACACATACATACACACACATACATACATACACATACATACACACACATACCTCTTGTATTTAGAAGAAGATAAAAATGTTTACAAATGAGTATTCCTAGGCCTAATTAAAAGTGAATACAACATTTCAAATCTTGTTTGTTCAGTAAGCAAAAAATAAACAAATGCTGGCTATTCATGTTGCTTTGTTTTTTCCTCCTCTTTAAAAGAAATGTGCTTTTTCCACAGGCTACCTTCAAAGGCTGGATGGATATAATGTATGCAGCAGTAGATTCTAGAAAGGTAATATGGCTATGAACCTAGCACTGCTTTTAAAGCAAAGAATTATAATGAATCATTGATCTTTGCCCAGACACAACTGTTTACTTTGTTTGGCAACAATATGTAAGTGATTTGCCTATTGCCTTAGTTTGGGATATTTTTCAGCTTTTTGGTCAAATCCATAGCTCTGATTTCCCTGATAGTTTTTCATCCATATGCTAAACAAGTTTGATTCAGCTTCTGAGCCCAAACAAGGCAAGTGGGTTGCCACTGCTTGCTGGGATTTAGAAGCAAGACTGTATTATTTTATATAAGAAAAAACGCTAATCGTCTCAAGGGGAAGTAAAAAAAAATGGTCCAATTGTCAGACGCTAGCTGCACCTTCTGTGTACGTAACCTGATCTCTTTTGTGCACAGAATATTCAGCAATGGCCCCAGAATTAATTTCATTACAGTGAAATTAAAGAGGATTTCTGTACATAATGGATCCCTATGAGCCTTTGAATCAAAGGGCAACTTTTCTAATCATTAGGTTTTGCATAATGAGTAAATTATAAAGATTTCCCAGAAGAGGACATCATTTAATTATTTAATTCTTTATTATATGTGTGAATTTAACCAGCAGCAAAATATTTAAACTGCCCTATTTATTAGATGCATGTGAGTTTGAGATAAAATAGGAAAAATGTAAAAATAATTTGAATGCTGTGAAAATATGACATAACACAAGATATGGTTGAGATTAAATGTCAAATGAATCCAAATGCAGTACAAAAGTGAACAGTACAAAATAAATATGAGAAAGGTATGGATTATATGGAGAGAATGAATAAAGATCAAAACTCAGAAAAATGGAGGAAAAAATATTAAAGGGTTAAGAGAAGGGGAATGAGTAAATTTTAGGTGGGTAGAGTTAATGAGATCCTCAAAAATAATGTTTAAAGAACAAAAAAGTCAGTGTATAAAGTAGTGCATGGATATAGTATCAATGAGGGTTGTTTGCAACAATAGAAAGATTTGCAGTACTATAGTGGGTGCTAATAGTATAAATAAGATTTAGTTAGATTTTCTTTCTCTTTTACCTTTGCCTATGCCTTTTGACCATTATGTCAATATTTTTCTGCACAGAATACACTGTGATTTGTTACATTAATAGATTGAGTATATATAAATTGGGGGTATCTCCCCCCCTCTCTCCTCTCCTTCAATATATAATTATTTTGTCTCTGTTTATAGCAAGAAGAGCAGCCCAAGTATGAGGACAACATCTACATGTATATCTATTTTGTCATCTTCATCATCTTCGGATCCTTCTTCACTTTGAATCTCTTCATTGGTGTTATTATTGACAACTTCAATCAGCAAAAGAAAAAGATAGGTCAACTTTTCATATTTTCTAGCACACAAGGAGAAGGAAAAGAAGAGAGAAAGATACATCCTAGAATGATTATTTAATTATCAACTAATAACGATAGAGGAGAGACTTTCCCAAATTTTGCTGCCGCTCATCCAAAATGTAAATGATTAAAAGCAGATTCTCACATGCAAGTCAGCTACGGCAACTGTAGTTATCGTAAGATGACATTAATGAGTGAAAGAGGCATTACAGATAGTCCTTGACTTACAAACATTTATTTAGTGACCGTTTGCTCTGAAAAGGTGATTTATGACTGGTTCTTACACTTATGACCATTGCAGTATCCCCACCATCACGTGATCAAAATTTAGATGCTTGGCAAATTTGCATGTATTTATGATGGTTGCAGCATCCCGGGGTCCTGGGATCAGGGGTGGGTTCCAGCAGCCACTATTGCCGGTTTGCTCGTGTGCACGCAGCATGTGCGCACATGCACAATACAATAAAAATTGTTCTGCACATGCGCAGAAGCCAAAAACAAGATGGCAGCACCATAGGTGCTGCCAGGAGAATCGGTTCGGGGGCGTGGCAGGCCTGGGTTGCTGCCGGTTCCAGTGACCCAGGCCGTCAAACCACTACCAGTTCGGCCAAACTGGTCCAAACCAGTAGGAACCCACCATTGCCTGGGATTGTCATCTGCAATCTTGTTAGGGAACTTCTGACTAGCGAAGCCATTGGGGGAAGCCAGATTTGCTTATCCACCACATGATTAACTTAACTGCAGTGATTTACTTAAGAACTGGGGCAAAAAGGTTGTAAGTTGGGGCATGACTCACTTAACAACTGCCTTGCTTATCAATGGAAATTTTAGGCTGAAGTCATAAGTTATAAGTTACAGCTATACCTGTATAAATCAAATGCAAAGGTAACCTTTTGTATAATTGTTGTCATTTTGACTTCTTCAACTATGCCCCAAAGAAAGTTATGGTAACTAGTAAATACACAACAGATATATTTCACGTAAATTATTTCCTGTTGGACAAGTTTCTTGTGCCTTTTCATTTCAAACAATGACAGCATTACAATTTATAATGCTAAATTGAACCTTTGCATCACAGCTATTAGCTGATGAGAATTATAGTCTGAGATCCAGTGGGCACTACATTAACTTAGATGTTCCCACAACAGAACTAAATAGAACTTAGCTCTTTGATACAATTACTTCTCGAGATGGGACAATTTCTTTGCCACACAAAGCAGTAAGACTATTCATTGAATATGCACCATAATCTTCAAGCAAGGTTGAATGGATTGTAACCAACTTCCTTTTCTTCCCCTCTTCCCCTTTACTTTGGAGGTCAGGATATCTTTATGACAGAAGAGCAGAAGAAATACTACAATGCCATGAAAAAATTAGGGTCCAAAAAACCTCAAAAACCAATTCCCAGGCCTCTGGTAAGTTTTTCATTTTTTTTTCTAGCACGCCATTCCTTATATACTCAAGTGGAATATTTCATCCCTCTCCACCCATTGAGATGATTCAGAAATGAAAAGCAAAACCATTATAATTGGTAATGGGTGAAAATATCAATTGGGAAATTTCTGATTCAAATTTCCACATTAGGCAGCCTTGAGAAACTCACAAATCTTTTAGCATCCATTTCATCATCCTACTCCTGGAACTATGGTACTATCTTCTATAATTCTTGTAAAATGTATGTCTGAGAAAGAAATTAATGCCAGATCAGAAGGCCCCTGTGGCAAAGTGCTATTGCAGAATCCTTTTCCCAAAATCAGGGCCTGACCTCTACCCAGTCAGCCAACTATGATCTTATCTGGCAACAGCAGGTAATTTTGACTTTTCTATATGCTGTATTCAGGTATGAGGCCTTGATAGGTGCGGTCACCTCATCTTATCCCAACAATTGGGTGAAAAGCCAAGTATTCAGTACTTTATGGAAGAACAGGAGGGTAGGAGCCTGCCAAACTTTAGGGAAAAGGGTGTCCCATAGGACAGGTCCATGAAAGAGCACACTTCCAAGCTTCCATAAGATGGTAATGTTTAAAGGATGGGACTAGGAGTGTGCCCGCTCTAACTAACTTGGTAGGATGAGTAGATGTTCTTAAGGAAAGCAGTTCTGCAGAAAGCCTGACATGGTGTCATATAGGACTTCAAAGGTAATGACCAGCTTCTTGAATTGCATCCAAAGGAAAATAGAACCCAGTGCAGCTCACGCAACATAGAAGATCTGAGTGCTGAACATAGAATTAAAAGCTGGATAATACACCATATTTTTGGTGTATAAGACATACTGCCACCTATCCTAATTGGGTGGAAATGTGTGTCTTATACAGCGAATGTTGCCGAAGCCCCACCCACCCACTGGCTTCTACCCTTTGACCTCTGCCTCCCAGCAATTTGCCTGCTTGCAGCAAACAGCAAACAGCCTGGTCAACTTCAGCACAGCCTGATTTAGCATGAGCAGCTGATTGGCGGTTGGATCTGCCTCCTGAAATATCGCCAGCAACTTTTCCAGGCTGTGGGGATCACCGCTGCCATTGCCATCCACCACCGCTGCCACCTATCACCACCTCCACATGCCCCATTTTTTGCCTCCGTGTGCCCCATTTTCAGCCTCCACACACCACATTTTTGACCTATTCTAGGCAACGGGGATCACCACTGTTACCACCTCTACCCACCGCCTGGAACAGGCTGAAAATGGGATGCGTGAAGGTCAAAAATGGGGTGCAACAGCAGCTTTATTAAATACCATGCTGACTGAACAATTTTCAATCTGCCTTTAAGCATTTTCATAATGGGAGGAAAAAAACTTTTGTTGCCATCTTATTAAAATCTTATTTAATCTGATAGTACCAAAGGTACACTGGATATTTCACAGTGTTGATATGCATTTTTTCTGTGTATAATAGAACAGAATCCAAGGCGCTGTCTTCGACTTTGTCACCCAGCAAGCCTTCGATATAGTAATAATGCTACTCATCTGTCTCAACATGGTGACTATGATGGTTGAAACCGACACACAAAGCAAACAGATGGAGGAGATCCTCTACTGGATCAATTTTGTCTTTGTTATCTTTTTCACTTGCGAGTGTGTGTTGAAAATGTTTGCCTTACGTCACTATTATTTCACTATTGGATGGAATATTTTTGATTTTGTGGTTGTAATACTCTCTGTTGTAGGTAAGTATATAGAAATATTTTCATGTATCTAGCACAGTAATCAAAGTACCTGGAGAAATGGACAATTCTAATGTTCAGTTGCAAACATCAAAATGAAAATGTGAACTTGTTAATAGTGAAACTGAGACTGTTTAGGATGTGAAATGTTGGTTCTTTCTATCATTAATCAGTTCTTTTATAGCCACTAAGAGGGCGCAAGAGTTCAGTGGTTAAAGATGCCAAGCTTGTCAGTCAGAAAGTTCAAGCGGAGTGATGGGGTGAGCTCTTATTACTTGCCCTGGCTCCTACCCACCTAGCAGGTCGGAACCATGAAGAATGTAAGCATATAAAAAGCTACCACTTTGGTGGGAAAGTAATAGTATTCCATGTGCCTTGGTGCATAGTCATGCTGGCCACATAACCGCAGAAATGTCTTAGGACAACGCTGCCTCCCTCAGATAAGGAACAAAGATGAGCACCATCTAGAGTCAGATACAACCAGGCAGGGGAAACCTTTGCTCTTTGTCTTTATGGTCACTAATCTGTTTTGGATTCTATTATTTTACAGTGTAATTTGAGATTGCCTCTTAAAATTGCTACTTATATAGAATGACTAAGTTTTCTATTAAAATTTATTGAGGAGCAATGGAAATATTCCTGGAATATGTTAAATTCCATTTTTCTCCACAGTTCTCATTTTTCACTAGACTCAATTCAAGATACTGATACGAGTTTGACATAGTTCAAAGGACAATTGTGATGACCTGGTGCATGGTACGAAAGCAACACAGCCAGAGAACAGGAACCTCCCTCCCTTATTTCTCCAACTTTGCCCCCAAATGTCCCCACATTTACTACAAGTCCTGGAGCAAAACTCTCTCATGCACCTTCAGCAGCCTCTGGCTGTGAGTAGTCCAGTAAGCAAGGTTAGCCAAACAGTAACCAGGACCAGCAGTCCAATAAGCCAGGTTAGACAAACAGTAACCAGAGCAAGAAGTTCAGCGAAGCAGGCAAACCAGGCAAGTCCTACAAGACAAAGCACAGTAATCTCTAGGTGTTGGCAAGTGCACAAGAGGCTCCACAGATTCAACACTTGTTCCCGACAAATGCCCCTCTCACCGTCACCTCCTTACATCTCAGTCCCCAGGTGTGATTTGTGAATGGGCGGGACACTTTTCTCCCTCATAGCCTGCTCAGTCTGTGTTGGTCTCGCCTTCTCTGTTCTCTCAGTGCTCTAGGATCAGGAGGGAGTGGTCCTTACTCTTTGCCTGAGCTTTGTCTCTCCTGCTCCTCCCTATCTGCAAACCTTTCTAATCCTGAAAAGTCTCATCCAGACTGACTCTGTCCTTCCCCAGTTTCCTCCAAGGCCAATGGAGATGCCCTCTCGATCTCTGTCAGCTCTTGTTCCAGCTCATCTTCCCCCGCAGATTCAGACTCTGATGGGGCCATGACAGACAACTATTGATATGAACTAGCTTGATACTTTGAGATGTTCCTTGGCAGTCCTCTGTGTCTGCTTTCTGTGTGTAACAGAGTCATGTAGGGTCATGTAGAGAGGCTATTAGAGTACCAACATGCCTCTTGCTCTTGCCTTTGGTGTCACTTAACAGTTAACTGACCATGGGGCATTTTTAAGGATTTCTAGTTGCTTATGATAATTGTAATCAACTATGGTTACCGTATATGAGCGTTGAAATCAAATTTTACTGTGCTGTTTGAATTGTATTTGTTTTGAATATTTGACAAAGGCCTTTACAGGTAGTCTTCAAATTACAACTTTAACAGAGCCTGCCTATTATGGTCACAAGTCGTAACAGTTATAAAATTGGCCAATAATATGTGACTGACATGATTTTACATTTTTTGCAGTGTTCACTTAGTGAAACACCATGGTCATAAGTGTGAACCAGGGGTGGGTTGCTAATCCTGTTCCAACTGGTTCGGTTGGAACGGGGCCGGCGGCATCCTCGTGCACGTGCACAGTTCATGCATGCATCTTAGCGCCTGCGCAATGCTCCAGCTGCTCGCAGAGACTCGCGCAGGGGCTGTATGTGCCATGCGCCTGTGTGGAAGCGCAGAAGCCTTCAAAGACCAGTAAGGAGCACGGGTGGGCGGGTGGGCCCTTCGCCGTTCCCGGAAGTTACTTACTTCCGGGTTCGCCGACCAACCGGTTCGTGGGGACCGCCGCAAACCAGTTGAAACCCACCCCTGGTGTGAACCCACTGTTTGCTATGAGTATGCTTTGCAGAAAATTGGAAGTAAGTCCTAAAATGTGGTCACATGCCAGCTGTAAGTGCAGGTGTGTTGCCGAGCACCTGAAGTGCAGTCAGGTGGCGGTGACTTTTGATTGTCAGAACTATAGATCTGGCTCCCATTTTGCAGGCAGGTCGTAACTTCGAACAGTCCCCAAGCAACCAGTCATTGGTTGAGGACTACCTGTAGTAATTACTAAAAGGACTTATTGACTAAAAGATGGTGACTTTTAAAACAAGCTGTGATTTTCTAACTCTCATGTATTGTCTCTTAAATTTGCCCATTATTTCCATGCTTCTGAAGAAAGAATGTGAGAAGGCTTGACACCATTGTAACTCTCTTTTCTCTCCTCAATATTTTTAAAGGTATGTTTTTGGCAGAAATCATAGAGAAATATTTTGTGTCACCAACTCTGTTCAGAGTCATCCGCCTGGCCCGTATTGGTCGAATCCTGCGCCTGATCAAAGGAGCTAAAGGGATCCGCACCTTGCTTTTTGCCTTAATGATGTCTTTGCCTGCCTTGTTCAACATTGGCCTCCTGCTCTTTTTAGTGATGTTCATCTTTTCCATCTTTGGGATGTCAAACTTCGCTTATGTCAAGCATGAGGCTGGTATTGATGACATGTTCAACTTTGAGACTTTTGGCAACAGCATGATATGCTTATTCCAGGTCACTACCTCAGCTGGATGGGATGGGTTGCTCTTACCCATCCTCAACCGTCCTCCAGACTGTGATTTGGAAAAGGAACATCCTGGGAGTGGCTTCAAAGGTGACTGTGGGAATCCTTCCGTTGGGATCTTTTTCTTTGTTAGCTATATCATCATCTCCTTTCTGATTGTGGTCAACATGTACATTGCCATCATTCTAGAGAACTTCAGTGTGGCTACAGAGGAAAGTGCTGATCCACTGAGTGAAGATGACTTTGAAACCTTCTATGAGATCTGGGAGAAGTTTGACCCCGACGCTACCCAGTTCATTGAATACTGCAAGTTGGCAGACTTCGCAGATGCTTTGGAGCACCCTCTTCGTGTTCCTAAGCCCAATACCATTGAGCTCATTGCCATGGATTTGCCAATGGTCAGTGGGGACAGAATCCATTGTCTGGACATCCTCTTTGCCTTTACCAAACGTGTACTGGGTGACAGTGGTGAACTAGACATCTTGAGGCAACAGATGGAAGAGAGATTTGTGGCTTCTAATCCTTCCAAAGTGTCTTATGAGCCCATCACAACCACATTACGGCGTAAACAGGAGGAGGTCTCCGCAGTGGTGATCCAGAGGGCTTACAGGGTCCGTTTAGCAAGGAGGGGATTTATCTGCCGGAAAAATGTCTCCAATGCAATAGAAAATGGAGGGACAAATAGGGAGAAAAAAGAAGGCACTCCATCCACGGCTTCCCTCCCATCTTATGACAGCGTAACTAAGCCTGAAAAAGAGAAACAGCGAGCCGAAGAAGGGAGACGCGAAAGGGCAAAAAGGCAAAAAGATGCCAGGGAATCAAAATGCTGAGATGATTCTATAATAATAATAATAATATTAACTGTAGAAAACTCGTGAGCAGAAAAGATTGTTTACAAACTTCCTGATAAAATATATATCAATAGCGAACAGCTGTGGAGAAACTTTAAAGATCTTATACCAAACATAGTCTGCTTACTGTGTGACCATGTTGCATCTCAAAGCAGTGATCCACCACCTGTTTAATGGACCCATCTAGACCAATATATTAAAAGAAACAGGAAACAATGCAAAGGAGAACAAGGATTTTATACAATCTGGGCAGGTGGATACTGCGTGTTCCACATCAGTCAATGCAACTTAGGACAAAAAAGCAAAATAAAACACACACACACAAACAAGGGGGGAAAAAACTGCTGCTTGAGGATTCATATTTTTTTCCAAAGCAGCAAAAAGTGATTTTATTTTATTTATTTATTTATTTATTTCATTTTATTGAAAGGAAATCTGAAAAAATGTCACTTAAAGGGTTGTTTAGTTCATGCAAAACTAGATTTTCATACTTGACATTTAGTTTAAGCAGCAAAAAACAAAAACAAAAAAGGAGGGGAAAAAACCAAGTAGAGCATCAACAAAAAGCTGAAATGACACGTATTTAGCCCATATCATTTAATCATCATCGTTTCTTTAGTACTTATTATCTGCATACTTTTTATTCTATGGGCTTCACCATGGTTTGTGAGAGATGGGGGTAATCAGGTATTTTCAGTTTGCCAAACTCGCTCAGGCTGATTCCAAAAATAAATTAAATAAAATTGTGCTTGTTTCAATGCATAGAAATGATTTGCATGATGGCATGCTGTGATCAGGAATCATGCATGAGGAATCATAAAACCACAAGACACCGAATATGCTGTCCGGGCCGTGTGTTAAGCCATATGTTTGAGGCACTCCACTGACTACAGCACACTGTATTTGGAGAGTTACTCTTAGCTATGATTATGCTCTTCACCTCGTTTCCAAGTGTTAATCTTTCCATGCACCCTCCCACAAGAGGAGGAAAGTGAAACTAATCAAAGAGTTTATGTGTATTTTTAATAAGCTTCATGCAGTCAACTTCTTTTCCACTTTTTAAAAGTAACTCCCCAAATCAACACCAAAATGCTGCTCTAGCACCCTTCCAATTCAGGAAGTGGTTGTAATATGATCTCAATATCTGGAACATTAGGGCTTCAAGAAAACTCACCAAGTAGTTCTGTATCCTGCAATATTTACAGTTCAGTATCCATTCTGCCATATTCACTTTTTTTCTGTTAGAAATAAGCACTGTAGAAAACAACATATTATCTCTCAAAGACACATTTTGGCAGTTATATAAAGCTATCCTATTGCAGGCAGGCTTATGACAGAGGAGTTTACAGCATTGTGTGTGCTACTTTTACTGGCAAAACGTTGCGGTTTTTTTTGGAGTGCTGTGATGTGAGAAATGTACTCGGCACAAGTGGATTTGTTCTTTCACTGAACGTTTTCTGCAGCTACATGGTTTTATCCAATTCTCTAAGCTGCATTTTTCCCCTAAGGAAAACAAACCAAAAATATTTTAAATAATTATGAAAATAGTTTAAATATCTATGAATATACAACATCCTACTTTTGGTAAGCAAAGTAGCATTGTAACATGGATACAGCACTGAGAGGAAAAGTGTCATACTTGACATGTGCCTTCACCAGTTCCATATTTCATCCCATATTGTTGTATGGTGGTAATTTTAATGGTCCTGTATATTCAGGGAGGGATGAAGAGCTACCTCTCAACTAGTCTTAACTCTAACACGATGAGCATTCTAAATGGAGGGGAACTAACATTTATGTTTCTAAGAACTACTTTGGCATGTTTCATTCTTTTTTTTAATGTCCATTATGTCCCCTTTTAATAAATCGATCCTCATAATAATTCATCTTCTAAGGGCACAGATTTATGGAATTGTTCTTGGGTCATTGTCGGCATTGCACTACAGTCAAGATTGTTCAATCATACAGCTTTTTAAAAAAGAAGTTTGCAGAAGACTGTAAAGAAATATGTTGAATTTCTGCAACATGGTGAAAGACGCTGTTTGAATGTGGACCAAAACCATTTTATCTATAAAAGGGCAAAAAATATTTTTAAAAAACAAGATTTAAAATATTCCAAAATCAAAAGAAAGCTAAGAAAGTTAGCAATGCCTTTTAGTTTAGTGGCAGATGCTTGACATTTAGAATTTTGCAACTTAGATGCCTATTACAAGGTTAATCAGAAAGTAAGCCATTTGATAGATATCTGTGCCAAGTTGAGCTTTTTAAAACTGCATAATCTAGCTACCACGACATCTGTGGAATAATTCTGCTGCACCAAATACCACGAGGAGCAAACCATTTCTTTCTTGTTAGGTTTTATCCCAGCTACTCATAAAATATGTATGATAAAATTACATGCATTTGTACAGGCAACATTGTAAACAGCACAACAACAAGAGCTGAAAAGTGTGACTGAACTTTTTAAGACAATAATATAAATACTGTAATATATCATTTTATTTTACTGGCATGCCTTTTTGTACATGACAAAGGACTACAAAAAATTAAATAGAGTGGCTTCTGGCTTATGCCACTGTCCATATTTAATTTTCTATCTCTCTAAAAATATTTTTTTTCTTTTCCACTTTTCAGATGATGTCAATTTAAGTACATCCCTTCAGAGGAAAAATATCCTCTCAAAAGCTTTATTGCAAAAATGTATTTACAACAAAACTACTTAGATTGTATTTTGGTTCTGAGGTGCAATACATTTTGACCACTCTATGCAAGATTTGGCTAAATGTCATATTTATTCTTCAGCTGGACTACTGTTCCATATGAAAAGCTTGGCACATATAGTGTTTGTGCTATCAAATTTTATTCAGCAAATTTTAGTAAAAATGCCCGCAATCTATATTTATATTTGCTTATTATTTAAGAATACTTGAAATTTCTTATATTACTCGAGCTTTGCTAAGAAAAAAACTGTTAAGAAAAAGCTTCAAAACTGTGAACTATGTCCTAACTAAAATTAACATTTTTTCTAATTTCTGCACAATGTTTCTTCAAATTTCTTTCATTTTAGATTTCTTTAACCAGTTATCCCAATTAATCAGACCTCACTGAGATTACGAGCCACACACTGGTATTTTAACAGCATTACATTTTGGAAATCTTATTTAAAAATGAATCCTCCTATAATGGTCTATTGAGATATATGAACATTATATAAAGATATACCTGAACTTTTTTTTAAAAGAGATAAAAGAGAAAAGAACTTATTATTTCAACAAAAACAGCTAGTGCTTTTTAGAAAAACATGGTCCAAACTAGGAATCAGTCAAATAAATCTCAAACTTATTAAGAAACATTTGAAAATGTAAATTTAATTTTAATAACATTGGTTTTTAAATCCCATTGTTTCACTCCATCTACCTCCCCCATAACCAGAAATGGTCAAAACAGTTTTGGTAAAACTTAATTTTAATAAAAAAGAACATTACATTTAGTGCATTTCTTTATAAATTCCTTTCCTTTTTTAAAATTCAAATAATAAGAATAGCCTCTTTAAGGGGTTATCTTCCTAGCGAATGAATGATATATGGAAAAGGACTGAAAACAACATATATGGGGGATATCCAATGCAAACTGAAATGAATGAGCATTCATGTTTAAATAATTTAACATCCCTTTGATAGCTTTAATTACTGTCAATGACCAGTACAATAAAAGAGGCCAAATACAATAGGCATAATGCCAAAACTAGAAAAAGGAAAATCTGAATAAAATGCAATAAAATATTAAGATAGTAAGATAACATAGAAATGGAATGAAACTGGAATACAATAGATTAAAAGAAGGGGAGAAAACTCTTCATAATGCCATAACTCCAAGATTAGACAATTCTATGTCTTCTTATGGGAATCATTGTAGATAGAAACGTAGCATCTTTACTTATGGTGGTGGTAAGGCTGACATGAACAGGAAACAAGTTATCATTTGACATAAATCTTATGACCATTTTTCAACTTCTACTGCAGAAGAGGTAAAGATATGGCTAAAAAGTTGCAATATGCTTCCCATGTAGGGTAAATCTAGGGAGACAACCTATTTTTTTTCAACTTTATCGTTCTGATAATGTTCTTTAGAATAAAGAATCCTATATCTAAAATATTCAAAAAGTATTTTAGGAGATTCATGGTAGTTTAAAAATGATGAATGTTTAGATTGTTTATGTGATAACACTGACAGTTCGGTAAAACTGGATAATCCTCAGCTAACTGTGATATGGATAAATTATCAATCAAACCAAACAATGCAAAAGTAAAACAGTTTTTTGTACAAAGGAAAGAGAATTCTCAAATATAAAATATCTGATGGGTGAGGGGGCTGAACAACAGTCTAATGTGCTCCCATAGTGTTCAGTCGATTTTGTTCAAGAATAATGGACTTTTGATATTTGAGTATTGAAGGGGAAGATGCAATAATAAACTGAATCCACATATCATTTGCCTAGAATGACAATTAAATGTGCCTACTCTTACTTACAGGCTTCTTTGGTAAGTGGCACAGCTGGCAAACCCTCTATTTTTGGTAGCTAAGAATTGGACACATTGTTAAGACTACACAGCCAGAAAAACAGCTCATAGCCAAGTCCTCTGGTTACTAGACATCAGTAAAAGAAATAACTCCCTTGCAAATAATTGTACCACTCATCACATAGCAATTTCCCAATGAATCAGTAGCTTAGATAGCAAAAAAAAAAAGAGGGGGGGATATTCTCCTATCTATGAGAAATTACATTGAAATGTGTTTAATTTACAGTACTGCTCTTTTTTTATATTTTGTTTCATAAAATAATGCAGCCTATCTCATCTTGCACTTGGTCTTCTTTTTGAACCTTCTGATAAAGAGTAAACAGAAAGAAAAAGAATCATACACTGAATTAATCCTGAGACAGTTGTTGCAGTTTCCACAAATCTATCTGGGTTTTTAATTTGTTTCAAGTATTATTACAAGAGCAGGTAACCAACCAGTGGAGAACATCTGAACATTATCATTGTTGGGAAAGGTCCATAGTCATGCATATGAGTTGTATTTAGGTAGATGGTCTTCAGTTAAAGAGGATGTATAGGAGATGCCTGAGACCTTGGGAAAGATGCTGCCACCCAACTGAACAATAATAACTTAGATGGATCAATTAGGATCTTCCTAATTATTTCCTGGTTTAGAAAGTTATTCCAATTGTTAACTAACAAAGCACCACATATTTGGAAAGCTATGTAGTCCCATACTCCAAAAAGCCCCAAATAAACATTCCTGTTTTCATTTTACCAAGATAACGGTTTGATCTTTTGGGTAGTTCACTTTATAAGGTTAAAAAAAGTTATTTGATGGTAACTGTAAAAATAATAAATAATAATGTAGGAGTAGATGTTAGGAATAAGCCAGTAAGACTAAGAATTTATACTGAGTTCTCTTTTTTTTTTCAGTGGATATTATGGGCATTTAGAAATGGCCAGTTTCAGATTGAGTATAGTTTTGGACTATTAACACTTTGATGAAAAACTGATGGGAACTATTGCTAAGTTAATATTGTTAAATTAATATTATCCTAGAAACATTTATGGGTTTGATGCTTCAAAATCCAAGAGAGGGAAAAACAAGGACCAGACAGATTGGGACAAATTGGAAAGCAAAGGACCGAGCATTGTTACTCAGCTACATTATTCCCTGTCATACAGGGTACATTCAGGTATAATGAACTGGGCCAGACTTGGTCCAGTGAGAATATTTCCTTGGGCTGAGTTTTGGATGTATATAATATTGTCTCTTGGCAACCAGTATTTGGCAACAGAGTAAACAGATAGATATATCAGGAAAATGCAGCCTCCTATATGCAACTTACGTTATGCCACATTATGTTTCATGGTACAAGGTGTTTCAATGTGTACATAACTCCTTTTGGAAAAAAAAGTGATATACATGATTCCTGGGTTTGTATATATTTTCTCTTCAAATGCTTTGGTGTTTATGAGGCTTTGAAGCATTCCCCATAATCAGTAACAGGAAGCGGGTGGGGACTGTTAACAATAAAGTCCACAGTCACCTCTTGTGGTGGGTGGGAATGAAGAGAATTGGTTCAAGCTGTTTTTTGTTTAGAAGGTTATTAAGAGAAAGGGCTTAAACACTACGTTGACAAAGATGATAATAACATTAGCTTGAAGGACTATCTGGTCTCATGACATTAAGAACCTCAGCCTCATGCACTAGTGTGTAAATGCCCTTATCTGCTAAGACAGGTAAGCTCTTGAGAAAAGCTAGTGGGTTTTTTTGAAGCATAAAAATCACTTTCACATACAGAAGGTCCTCAGGTGGATGCTGCATTTACCTTGGCACAGGAAATGGGTAGTTTTGCAGTATGTTTCATTCTTTTTTTCCTCTTACCTAACCTTTGTGCACTAGTAACACTCTCTCCAGAAACAGTTGTGTGCTGGGGTGTTGGCTGTGTGATTGTCAGTGGACACCCAGACCTTGGCTTGTGCAGTTCTGTAACCATCCAGTGCGCCAATGTCTTATTCTTAAGTTGTTTGTTCCAATCAACTTTTTCTTTAAAGCTTTCTGTTTGAAGGGCTGAGATGAGACATCCTTGCTTTATCCACTTGCTTTGCTAGGAGTTAAGAGCAAAAGAAGACCAGGTGTTATGTTTCTAATAAGTCTGCCAAGGGAGGCAGTTCATGGTCCACTTGCTCTCTTTGAACACTTGTAATATGTGGCCAGAAAAGAAAAATTCTTCCGAGCTACTTCTCCCATGTGGAGATGATCTCTGTCAACAGACAAATGTATGCTGTGTTGCTACAGTGCCTATTTTGTCATCAATACTTCAATTGGGAATCAAACTATGATTGGGAAGAATTGTATGAGACTTACGTAAGTTGTCCTTCTGAGAGGAATACAGCCAACAACTTTTTCTGCATATTTACTTTTGTGCCTCTGTTTGTGATATTGCTGAGAACTGACACTTGCCTGTTTTGTATGAATGTGGCACACATGTCTGCAGATCTCATTCTCCCTTTCATACTATGAATTTTTTTTAATGTCCTAGTCTTCTTTCCAGAGCTCACCATATTAGCTACAATAAGAATGTTACAGTCACAGAACACAAGGATTGTGTTTGTGAAAGGAGCACTGAGTAGATGTTTTGTCCACCCCCTTTACAAAGAATCAGTACATGTTGGACTTTGCAGGAGATGCACTAATAGCAAACTAAGCATTCACTGTTTTAAAGTTCACCAGGATTATTGTGATCCCCAATGAGAAGAAAAGCATATGTGGAATCCTTTTAAAAGGGCAGTTAATGGCAACAGTTCACTCAGCCATTCTCCAGAATGCAAAGTATTATTTTTAAAGTTTCTATTTACCAGTGAAAAAGAGAGATTTCCAATTTAACTCTGGTCTTAAACTAGATTGGAACATTTTGATGGAGAGAAATTCAAGACAACATTCATACGGATTTCAGTGTCTACTAGAATTGTGTCACCTTAAATATGAATCTAT